GTTCAAATTTTCTAAGATAACATACAATAAAAAACATGATTTAACGGTTATTTTTTATTAAAGCATCTGTCTATCGACACTAGCCCTTTCAAGGACAACGTACAATGTACTTATAGTAAACTGTTCTCATTCTATGCCAACACCAATAAAACACAGAAAACATGTTTGAATATTCAAAGCAAAAACGGAAATGGAGAGGCGCCTGATTGTTGTTAATTGTGTATACTACTTCATTTGAAGGCCCATAAATCATTGTTTACAGTAATATTACACCATTCTAAGCAAGTTAAGTAGTTATAAATCATTAAACATGGCATAAATATTGGGAAAGCCCATAAAAATTGCAATAAAAAAATCGCGTTATGTTATTTACTAATCTGTTAGATTTCCATGAAATGTACAAAGAACATTTCTTGACTGATTTTTTTATAAAACTGGTAAAATATGCTGTATATTTGATGTTATTGTGTCATCATGGGCTAAGTAGCCCAGATAGATTGAAACAAAATATGTATGGTAAAACCATGGTGGCTGATTAACGCCTCGTCAGACTTTTTTGTTTTCGCCACGAAAATGCGAACACACGGAGATACCACAAAGTCTAACTTAAAATGTGTTTTTGCCTCTAATTACCAGTACTCGCAATAAAAAACAACTACATAAAACATTTACATACATCAGCTTTACAATTCAGGACCAATTTTAAAATTCTGACTTTGTTGTAAAACATTCTTCAAATGGCTTGATATCAGTGGCGTTTCGTTAAGGCCTCAACAGACGGTAGGATTTAGTTGTACAGCACTAATTAGAGATAAGATGTACAATTTTCAAAGCAATACAACACTTGCATTCAGACCGTAATTCTGCATTGTAGGAATCATCTGAGGTTTCCCTCAAAAATAGTTCCCTCCCTGATCCCTTACTTTACTCACATTTTTTTTCTCCATGAGTAATGATTGAAACATCTCCATTTCTTTTATTTTCTTTTTTTTTTAATGTGCAGCCTGACCGAAACTCAAAGCTGGGACCCTCGGAATACCGTACTGCTGTTCTACTGACTGAGCTATCCGGTCGCCTACAAACTACCTCCCCTGATTAGAGAACAGTTCAATACTGTGATATAATCATTTTCATAATAATTTGAGATTCGAACATACCACAACTTTGGGTCTCCTGAAGAGTTTTTCAACATCATTTTACCCCATGTTATAACTATGTTTACCTTTTAGCCCTAATTGTTCTGGAATTTCATTCATTACACCCGTTATCAAGAGATAATTTGGCAATCTGTTCCTTGTCATTGCGGGAGGTCTGTGCGACAAGATTTTCAAAATAGAACATGTCCTATCCCTTACATCTAGTATTGAGGAAGTAGCCTTCACATATTAAGATTTGCTTGTACATCTTAGTTTTATTTGGTGTTGTACTTCAAAATCCTACCGTCTGTTAAGACCTTTAGTTTTACCAATGCTGGCATGGGGGTGCCAGGTGAGTCGCGCGATGTACAATGACACGCTTAGGATGACGTAATTATATCGTTATGAATGAAGTTGTAATTTCTACACTGTTGTATGAAAATAGTTACGGTGTAATGACATAAATTTCAAAGGACAATTGTTTTATTAGGGTTAAGAGTATAGAATATAATGTAATATGGTAGAATATGCAAGAAAAAAATCTGACATATGTATTTGGTTCGGATTGGAATATACGTCCCTCGGGATGCCCGCCAAAGGGCGGTAATTCAGCAAGCCTTGTTACCGCCCAATGGACGGGTCCTTTCTGGACCTCGCGTTATCATACTGGCGTTTCGTTCCTTCAAAATCATTTTACGCATTCGTAAAACCTGGCTATATTCTTAATTTACCAGCAATTTCCCTTCTCTTCTACTTTATATCTTTAACAAATGCAGTGGCCAGAGAAAAATGCCGCTGCTGATATTGTTTACAACGACGACTTCTGGAGAAAAAGCAGTACCTTGTACATATGGAGCTTGTGATTTTCATTAAATTCAAACGTATTTAAAATAGCCCGCTTCTTGCAGAGATATTTGGTATTACTGATAAGTTATTCAGGAAAGCCGTTTATGTGGACCGACTGTCGAGATATGACAAAAATGAAGGAATCGGCATAAAAACCAGACACAAATGAAACAAAAAATATCTAAACGGTAAGTTACAATAACAGCAGCGTTATCAAGTAAAGGTACAAACGTATTAGCAATTTGTGTACACTCAAACTTCTTGATTTATCAATCGTTTTCATCATATTTACCCAGAACACTTTTAAGCCTCTGAAACAATAATTTATCAGCGCAGTGCACGTGCATCCACATATGTTTCGGATCTAATAATATAAGAGTTCTTTACATCTGTGCCAGACACGTTATTGTGTAAATAGTTTTATTTTAATGAACTCTACAAGAATGTAGAACAAAATAAGATGTCATTTTCACAAAGGCACATATTTTGCAAATGATTGTTTTCAAAGTAAATTTAGCATCAGTCAGAGAGAATTTTTATTGTTATTTGATATAGTACAAATTGTTAGCTTCCATATTGATAGAAATTTTCAGTTATTTCAAGATTTTATTTCCTAGAAACAGTGTTGTCCTATAGCAAAACAATAATATTCAAGCTTCACTTGGTTGAAGAAGTCAGGCACCTTTATATTGAACATGTTGCTGTATTTTACTGAATTATCAAACCAAAGAATTAATGTTTATATTCGACAACCAGCCTACTTAATGTGGACGGGAAACTTGAAAATCTTTAATCTTCTCATTCAGGAAAGAATCCATCTACCACTTGAAATTGAATATTTCATTTGCTCATTTGTCTGAAGACTTTTCTAGTATCAACATAAAATAAAACTGGAAGGTTCTCATAAAAATACAAGTGATCCCTTTTTAGCGAATTAAATGGGATATATTTGATGGATTTGATGGTACAATCAACGTGTCCAATGTCGTACGTTTCTCTTGCCCTATTGTATTGATCTTTGTTAAAGTACAACATTACAAATTTATGGTTTTACAAGAGGTCACTGCATCCTAAATTCTTATCATTTTATAGGATAATGTTCACTGTATTATGCAAATTGGAATTTAACGAGACGATTATTTCTTGCGAAAGTCCTATCAAAAACATCAAGAAGCACTAAAATGAAAAGTGAATAAGCCCATAAAAACATTGTGTCTAAATATGAAAGCTATAGTCACATGCTAAATACTTCACTATTACTTCTAGATTAAAAAGATATTATTCTTTTTAATATACTTTTGTATTTAGATATACTTATGATCTATACATTTCTGAATGATTTTGACGAAGGGATTTTTTTCCTTTATAACAATTTAATAAATAATCTACATGAACTACGAAAACTTCTATAAATATCTTTCAGAATATACCAGTAACGTCTGGCACTCTTTTTATTATAAAGGGACATTTTGTATTATCATAAACATTTTCATATATCAATTTTGGTCAATCACCATTATTAAAGTATATCTTTTGAAATATATAATCATCTAATTCAACTCAACAGAACAGCGAAAAAATTGAACATACATTCACCTTCAAATATTAAATAATCTGAGTCACTAGTAAGAAAAACAAACGTTTTATTCGATGATCTAACAAATATATATGTTGTTCGATCGATCGAACAAAAAGGGCAAACAACTTATTACAAAAACTTGTTAAATCTTATCAAATATATATATATCTACTTATAAGATGTTTGCCCTTTTTGTTTGATCGATGTATTTATTCAATGTTTCAAGTCAACTTTTTAATTAAATTGAATAAAAAAAGAGTCACTTGTTCTTTTATGTATTCCCCATTTGTGTAAAATAACCAATATTTGTACCCAAAAATCCTATTTATGGCTATAAAGAGGGACTGATTGGACAATCCCTTATCAGTTTGGAACGAGATAATTGCTTCTATTTTATTTTATATATTTTCATTTTCTTTAACTTTTTTGTGATCTGCGTGGGAAAAAGAATCAAAGCAAAAGACGGTCCAGGTTTAATTTCTGCCATAACTTTTTTAATATTTAATTATTTTTATGGGATAAAGTGTAGAGCCCGCTCATATTGGTGGATACCTATACAAGAATTCTTTCATGGGAGAATCTTTCTTTTTCCGTTTAATAAAACCGCTTGAATATCTGATTGTTCAAACACTCGGTTTCACTTCCCGGGAAAATACTGATTTTCTTTCTAAAATATACAACAGATGTGTTAGTTACAAAAATGAGAGAGATATACACTTTATCAAATTAAAATGATCAATCCACATGTAACATTTAGAACTGAAAAAGAAAATCAAATAATCAGTAGCGACCTTTAGGTTTCTTGTCAACTTCACAAACATCTTTTATCATATGAAGTCTAACTTATCAAGAGGTACAGTTTGTTTGTAAACGGTACTATTAACATTTAAAACTAAGTGTTACTTATTTCAAATATAGATATTGTAATTTATTTGTACGTTGAAAGATAACTTAAAGTGTTGGATACACCACTGTGTACACAATCACGCAAACGATACTCACGTAAAAGAAGAACCACCTGTTTCTGACTAATTGAACAGTAACTCCCTGGAGGTAGGGTTAGGTTTCCTAAAATGACTTTTTTAATACTTCAAATGTTATGGAACATTTAACTTGCTTGAAACATGCTGGGAGTAGCTATTTAAAGAAGATCAAGAAGTTGAAGCTTAAAATGAAATAAATAAAAATTCATTCATGAGTCAGTTATAAAGAAGCATATCTTTTTTTAAACGTCGTCCGTTGTCGTTCATACGTTAATAGTAAAGTTTCTTCGCCCTTGAGTACAGACCCCGTGTATGTCACCCGCCATTTTCTTAAAAAGAAATTATAGAAGTCCAAACGAATATTCTGAACCACTTTTTCAAAAGTCAGGTACTATCCGTAACACGGAATTTTGAATCTAAAATTAGGTAGTAAAGGCTAACATTTAACTATGTTATACACTCTTCCAAATAAGCGATCGTGAGCTATTCGGAGTTATCTTCGCTTACCGGAAGTGACGTAGAGTGAGGACTTGATACCAAAACTAATTCAAAACAGAAAAACGTTAAATTATTCAATTTTAAACAAGGTAACATTATTTTTTTCTTACATTTTAAAAACTTTATCATTGATTTAACTTCAAACAACCCAGTAACGGTGTTTTTGTCGTTTTTGCAAGGATTCGTAGGCGAAAATAACAGTTTTCTTTTTTACTGACCCTCGTTTCGGATACGCAATAAATTCGGATAAAAATCATTACGAGTATTACGTACAATTGCTGTGTGTATTCTTTTAATTACAGCTTAATACATCATTAACAATGTTCATTCAATGTACTGTATTGTTTAATTCAGACAGATCTGTTGTTTTTTATATTTGCTTAGCGGGTTGTTTTACCACAGCTAATTAAAAAAAACAATACAAATGATAAGAAACCTATCAGTAATTTACTTAAGAAAAATGTTGCATTTGCTAAATGAATCCAACATGATATGCATGATGAGCTTAAAAAATATTTAAGAGTAAAAATACTTTTTTTTCTATTTTACAGCTGATATCAGGATGTGAAAGCTTTCTGTGTATTTTAACTTTGTATTGCCAAACGTCAATACTGACTACATAAATATTCATGACAATGGCAAGTGTCCTGGCAGATGTGGATACAAACAGAGTCCTACAAAAATGTAGTTGTTCAAAGGTATGATACCTCAAACTTTATAATGATTTCCAGATAAATGAATTGACAAATCATCATCAGAGCTGCATCAGTACTAACGGTGTAGTACTTAAGTACCAGTACCAGTACTTGGCAAATTATGCAGTACCATTACCAGTACCAGTACTAGATTTTAGCTCGGTACAGCAGTACCAGTACTTTTTTTGGTGAAGTAATTAAGTATCAGAACCATTACTTTTATATGTTCATCACAGTTGGAATAAATACACAGTGTCAAACGTTACAAATTATTGCAAATATTATTCAACAAAGAAATAAAATCATAATTTACATTAATATCAAAAATCATAACATTTTTACAACTTTATAGTTTTAACATACTTTTTTACCAACACTATTTACAACATATATTTATGTCATCTTAATTATTGTTTAGTAAACAGTCAACTGTAATACAATGCAATCATCTTTCATTTAAAACACAACAGTGTTTTGTTGCCTTTCACACATTCACACCTCTGTTCAATTTACACCAAAGTAAATAACAACTTTTTATAGTGCAAACGATATCACTTGAAGTAGGATTATTTAGAATAGAAGCAATAAATTAGTGATTATTTTGCTCTTTTACTAGTAAATACAAAGTAACAAAAGATTTGAATAAGGATATTTTAGGGTAAAGAGTTATTGAGTCTGTTTATCTCAATTTCATTTTTACTTAAAGTCTTTGGTGCTTTTTTATGATGAATACTACGTTAACATTTGAAGGAATATTGCCGCAAATTATCTATAGATTTGATAACTTACTTTTTCACAAAAGTAAAATAATGTAATTTACAGCTTTATTTTATGAGAAAAATTGATGCTTTTTTTTATCAAATCCAAAAGTACTGTCTAGTAATGCAGTAGCAGTACCACTTTTTATGACAGTAATGCAGTACCAGTACCAGTAGTATGAAAATTTTGTAAGAGTAATTCAGTAGCAGTACTTGCAAAATCGCTGCTGTACATAATACAGTACCAGTACCAGTAATGCAGCTCTGATCATCATTAATGAATGTGTATTGTGACATTAAATAGCGGTATTTACATGGAAAACATAAATTTCTATTGACAATACCATTTCGTTGGAAGTTTTATGTACAAATAGCATGCATATATTATTTATAACTTCTTGATACTTCAAAGTTATTACAAAGTATGTTTCATAAAAGGATATAAAAAGGGGAAAATCAGAAGAAAAGATTAAGGTCAAACTTAATTGCAGTACAATATTCATGTATATGATTTTCTCACCTTTTACATAGACAATTACTTTATACTTGTAATTGTAGGTTGTTATTTATCAATTTTATTTTAACAGCTGACAGAAAAGGACATACCAGGAGCAACATTAAGCACTGTACCAGAGAAATGCAGAGTGACAGACCTGAGGGTGTGGTTAAAGTGCCGAGGTCAAAAAGTCAAATCTAAAGAGAACAAGGCTGAACTTTGTGTCAGGTTTGTGAAGTAGTTGCTTACAATTTTTAACTAACTACATGTGTATATTAATGTGTAAACATATTCATGTATAATTATGTAGGAATATGTTTTACACTACAGTCTGTATAGAATATTACTTGTACTGTGAAGCTGTATGGATGTAAATCAAAGCTGAAGGACATTTGAGCCGCGTCATGACAAAACCAACATAGTGCGTTTGCAACCAGCATGGATCCAGACCAGCCTGCGCGTCCGCGCAGTCTGATCAGGATCCATGCTGTTCGCTTACAGACCCTATAACAAGTAGAGAAACTGATAGCTAACAGCATGGATCCTGATCAGACTGCGCGGATGCGCAGGCTGGTCTGGATTCATGCTGGTCGCAAACCCATTATGTTGGTTTTGTCATGACGCGGCTCATTTATTTGTAGATCTAGATCTGTACAGGCTGCACTGGGCTGGTGCAGTTTTGCTTGGGCCATCCTTAAAAAAATGTTTGTTTGCAGTAACGCGACCGACTCACAAAATTTGCCCCTACTCAAAATTTTTTTTCATGGTCTGGATAAAAAAATTTTTTTTTTGAATCAGAAAATTATGCCTTGTGCTTTGTTTTTGTTCTTTTAAAGGTTAATAGAAGAAATAAAATAATAAAATGTAGTTATTATTTAATTAGAATTCATTTATCAATTTATTAATGGTTACCAGATTATCAAAGCATATATTGTCCAGCATTTTGAAATTCCATGTTTATTTGGGAGTACAGTTCAAAAAAAAAAAAAAAAAAAAAAAAAAAAATCGACCTACCTACCCACCTTGAAAATTCTGGGTCGGGTTACTGCAAACAAACATTTTTTTAAGGATGGCCTTGTTTTATTTTTAAATGCTTTATTTTTATGCACAAGTCTTTTTGATATATTTAGTTTAAAGTTACTTATGCTAAAGTCAGGGATGACATGATATACATGTACCTAGATCTAAAAGTTAATGAAATGAATTGTTGATTTGAATGTTAATTTTAAAAATTTTATTTTGTCTTTGATGATTCATACTAGGGCTCGGTATCTGTAAAATTATGGATATGATATTTGTAAAGTTAAAAGGTGACCGATATTTGCTATATCATATGATATATTACGTTACTATAAATTAAGTTCATTATATATTGTGATCCCTATCTGAAATATGACTTTGTTTATTTTTAGGGTGAAGAAGTGCGTAGAAACAGGTGCTGTTTTTGACATCACTGATCCTTATCCTGGACAGCCGTATCTTGAGAAAAAGAAATCTGCCTGCCCAAACTGCCAAACAAAAACAAGACAACAAAACTCCAAAGAAACTGAAACTGAGACTGTAAATTGGACGAAAGATGCAAAGTGCCTGCCAGAGACATTTAACTATGTGAACATTTTGGACTACTCAAAACTGTCAGGAAAGAAGACAAAAGACATTGTTGAAAAACCCATTAATCGAGGATACACTTTATTTTTTGATGGATATGTTCATGATGTCTCTACTAGTACAAACTCAAATAACATTATTGTAAAATGTAAGTGTTTCAAATCTATGAAGAAAAATGAACAACCCCATGACAGTAGAGTGACATTAGATTCCAAGGGCCATGTGAAGTGTGGGAAATGTTCTTGTGTTGCAGGTGCTAGTGGGTTTTGCAATCATGTGTTTGCCCTGCTCTACACCATTGACCACTCAGTGAAGATAAAATTAACAGAATTTAGTAAATTGAAAACCTGCACTGAAAGGCCTTCACAATGGACCAAAGCTAGAACAGAAGGAGTCCGGGCCGAACCTGTTATGGCTGCAACTGTGGTAAAGCCCAAATTTGGAAATAACTTTTGTGGTATAAGACCCCTTCTTCAAGACACGCGGTTGAAAGAAGCTAGGAATGAACTGAATGTGAAAGGAGCAGTGGATAAACTGAAAGAGATTAATCCTTTGATAGGACTGTGCCAAGTAACCAGCTTTGAGAAAACCCCGATGGTAGACACCAGATTGGAATTAAGCACCCCAGTTGGCTCTGTGCTATCTTATCAGCTTAGTAAAACAGAAGGAGACTTTGTTGTAACTTTAAACCTTGAAAGTAATCCAGAAACAATTGTTAATGATGAAAAGGCACAAAATTTCCCTTGGATTAGAAGACATTTCCCAGATAGTGTTGAGAATACCATATTGAGAGACCTGAATTTAGAAATTACAGAACAAGATGCCATACAGCTTGAGAAGGATACAAAAGAACAAGCACAATCAGAAGCATGGTTTCAAGCAAGAAAATATCGGTTAACAGCAAGTAAGTTTGGGCGTATACTTTCAAGAAAGAAGGACAAAGACACATTCATCAAAGATTATTTGTTTACACCAAAGAATCTGTCACATGTTCCTGCAGTTCTGTATGGAATTCACAACGAGGAGGTTGCGGTAAAGAAGTACCTCAACTATATGACAAAAAGCAACATGAGAACAGCAGTATACAAATCTGGTGTTGTCGTGAATACTGCATTACCATGGTTGGCTGCATCCCCTGACAGACTGGTATATAACAATGATGTAGGTTTTGGACTGTTGGAGGTAAAATGTGCTTATTCAAAGAAGAGTGTGACCCCAAAAGACGCTTGTTGTGATCCTGGATTCTTTTGCACATTGAAGGACGGCCTGTTTTCCTTAAAAATAGAGCATGACTACTTTGCCCAAGTTCAAGGCCAGCTAGGAATTTGTGGAGCCAGTTATTGTGACTTTATTGTTTACACCAACAAAGGCCTCGGAGTGCACAGAATACTCTATGATGAAATGTTTTTTTTAGATATGGTTAGGAAATTGAAAGATTTCTTTTTGGACCATTTTCTATCAGTTGCCAAAACACAAATTTTGCTAGATAATAATAATAATGTGTCCTCTTAAAATCTCTACATGACTGTATATGGAAAACAAAACCTTTTATGGTAGACATTATAATCAAATAGTTTCCAGTGCCATAACTAAAAAAATAGTTAGTTTGCAGTTGCTCGACTGACTCAATGCAATTGGTCCACTTAAAAAAAAGTTGGACTAAATTTTTTTATCAAAACATAACCATATGCTTGTTTAAATCTTCACTAAGATATAAGAAGAACAAAATCCCGGCCAACCGACTCACTGTTAAAAAGGTGGGTCGCGCAAATGCAAACCAATTATTTTTTTAGTGATGCCCCAGTTGTGATATAATTCACCAAATGCAATATTTCATGAGTGGCGGTAGCCACAAGTGAAATATAGTAATTTTCATGCCACAAGTGAAATCTTATATTTGTATATAATTATGCATATAAAACAATTTTCAAACATCGAAGAATATGTAAAATATGTACTGCAAATATTTGTGCATATTATATGTAATAATTAAAATATATGCATACATTTTTTATTGTAAAATTTGACTTAGACTTTACAGAAAATAAATTTCTAATTACCTCCCTTTATTTACATAAAATGTTAAATTCGGTAATAGCTTTAAAAATAATGCTTTTTGGAACATACAATATTGATAAATCTTAACATGTACATATTGAATATGACGAACACATACATTGTACTAAACTCAGAGGCACTTCTAAATTGGTTATTTGTGAAAGGGTTCTGTTCAACTTTGGACCGTACAAAATTGAACATATCATACTTACTACTAAGAATTTTATTAACAATTCATTAAGAAGAAAAAAGAGAAAATAACAAAACAAATCTGTATGTTAACCAGTTCTTATATTTCGTGTGTCCTCCAATTGCTATAACAACGTGTAAACACCTGTTTCATGGAAATGATGTAGTTTCTCATGAAAGCTTTCGGATTTATTTGGGATAGTCTTTTTCCAGCAACTCCTGTCACCCAAGTCATCAAAGTTAAATTTTTGGGCTGCATTGAACAGACCTGTAAGAAAGCGACCAGAAGCGCCCCCCCCCCCACCCCCCTCGCAATTTGCTGGAACTCGAGCAAGCGCAAGTTCAGGAATGGGGTACTATGAGACAGAGGTGTTTACATTGTTATAGCCATTTGGGAGGACATACAATGTAAAAGTATTAGAACTGGTTAACATACAGATTTAGCGCGATTCAGAGACTATTCATTTTATTAAGATATTTAAAGCCATTCTGTGATATTTCATTTTGCAGTAGCATTTTTTTGTTATTTTCTCTATTTTCTTATCAATAAATTGTAAATATAATTCTAAGTACTAAGTATGATATGTTTAATTGTGTATGGCCCAAATTTGAACAAAGCCCGTCCACAAATAACGTATTTATACAGAAAAATATAAGTGTCGGGTTATAAGTGCCTCTGAGTGTGTATATTTAGCTCTGTAACACAAAAAAAGCAATATATTTAATTGTGTTCTCACCAAACTAAACTCACCATAACAAATTCTTGGCTTTTCACTGTCGTTGCTATTTTTTTTACATTTTCCGTTTAGTTGACCGTGTTTTCCTAATATTGCATTCATGCATTTTTGTTTACCTTAAAATATAAAGTACACTTCTTTGGGTTCCTTGTTTGTATTGTTAAGCAATAAAATGTAAGGGAAAATTACGATATATGTACATTGAATGTTGTCATTTTTTATTATGTTATTGGATATACCGCTTTACTTTTGGTTATATTTGATGCAATTAAACCTTATCTAGTATAGTTTAACCTAGTCCAGCAATGGAGCTTTTTGTAGTTATGAATGTACACACGTTTTATAAAAGAATGTCCTATTTTAATGGCATTTTTCTTACAAATTAGTATATGCTTCAAGGTTTCATCTGATGCAAAATGATATAACTTTCCTTCCCTGCTTCGCATGAACTAAATCAGGGAATTCAAGATGGAAGTATAGATAGAAATGTTCATCTAATAATATTAAACGTTCGTTTTATCCACTCCACTCAGATACTTAATTGAAAACATGTCTCGTTTAATCATAAAGTTCCGTTGAAAATGCTTTATGTAGAGAAAACAATTTGAATTAGTCTCCATGACAGACTTTAAATGGATTCTTAATCATTTCAGTGATAGAACTCATCTTAAATCTGATAAAGGTTGTATGTCGTTTATCTTTAGGAGACTTTCGCGACATTCTATTCATTTGTATTGTATCAAAATGTCCCTGAGTAAAAATTGGAAATTTGTCATATTGAACAACGAAGTCATACAGACAAATATAATTCGTCTGAAATATAGACCTTTACATGAGCTTCAGGGATTTTTGCAGAAGAACTCGTTTAAAATATAATAAAAGATTGTCTGTCGTTTCTCCCTAGATATTATCTGAAAACATCGAAAAAAAAAAGAAATTTGAAATATATATAAAACAACTTGGCCTTCTTAATATTTGGCAAACACTGTTCTAACGCCTATAAACGCAATGTGAATAATATGTTGCCTTTTTATATTCTAAGAAATGACTGTCATTTTCAGAGGAAAAAACTTGTTACCTACAATTTTTCGGTATTAAGAGAAATAAAATAAAAACAAAAGGATCATGGTGGCCTTATATCGCCTACTTGTGGTCAATTGTCAGAAAATGTTGATATATTTTGTACCTTTCTTTCTTTTCCTATCCGTTTTTTATATAAAAAAAGACAGACTCGTTTCATGTAAAAGCTTTTTTATTTTTGGACAAAACCACAAAGTGGTATAACAGTGAAAATGATTTCAGAGACAGCATGTTGTATAACATCTACGTAGATTTGAACTAGATTTTGTACAGTTTAACACATTAAGCTGCGGAATGTACTGTCAAGACAAGTTTTGTACGTGAAGTGAAATAAATTAATGCTAATCTTTTTCACATTTTGATAAAAATGGGCAGAACTAGAAGCTTAAACGTCTGTCAGATACTGACTATTCTTTATATTTGTTGATAACTAAACAATTTTCACTTAAACCCCGCATGTGACGGGCCACAATGATATGACAAAATGTGTTAAGATCGGCATAAAGAAACAACGAACAAAGAAGTGCTTGCCACATACAATGTAGCAATCCCCAACCGGTTTGATGTTTGTTTACGTACTTTGACGTCAAAGAATTTGTTTCATATATTTTAGAGTTGAAAATAACTAGGACTTTAGATGTTCAATTCGCATATTAGTTATACGGGAAGGTCGACTTAGAAATATACAAAATGAAAACCTTACTCTCCATTCGTTTGTTTTTCAAATATTTGATGAATACACATTTTGCGGTTATGTTTATTTTAACAATTATTAAATGTCTTGCTAATGGGTTGTGTGGGTTTTTATCCCTGCAGACATAAGCAAAATGCATATTTGTTTAAGAGTTTGTGCAAAGGATTGAAATGTAAAATCTTGAAATGATAATTTTAAAAGCACATTATTTGGACAAAAATAGAACTTACTGTGTACACCAAAATGCTAATCATTGTGACCTGCAATTTTAAAGAATATTGCCTCATAGAAATGACCTAATGATGTATGAGTGTGTTTGGAAGACGTTGCCAATAGGAGTGCATTTCGGAGGTCATTAACAACCGTGTTAAACATATTCATTAAGTTATGAATAGTCTGTCTAGACCAGCTAAAAAAATGGCCAAAACTAATAACTGTTGAACCTGCCTGCAGCACTGTCATACCATATAATGATCCTTTCGATTTGAGCACAAAGAGGTGCACTGTTCGAAGTTGTTGTCATATAGAGCTCCTCGAAGATATCTATTCGACGTTTATCACCGAGTAGAGCTTCATAATTTGATGAGGAACTGTCTCCGGAGCTGTTGCGTTTTGTCGGATAGAGACCTTAACTATCTGATACAAGGTAAAATGCGTTTTTTATTGTAGTACAAACACATGAAGACAAGATAAAAAGTTTCGATGCAATGAGATTTTCTGTTTGTTTTACAACAAATTATTGTTCGTCTGACATTTTGTTTATCGTCCGAATTGAGTACCACTCAAGCCGCTGCTAGGGGGCATGAGGGATGTTGCACTTATTCCTTATCCCTCATGGACAAACTCAATCAAACCGAGTCTAAAACTTTCATGTAATTTTGTTGTAGTTAATGCTTCCGAGGGATCACTTTGTTTCCAGATTTTTATACTTCACAACAGCAGGTGTCAAGTGCCGTGTGGCAGCTGTAAAAAGTTGCCCCGTACTTCACTTCAGTGCTGTTATATATTTCTGGTCCTTCGGGATCATTGATGCCAACACTATCAAGTGTTGAGAATTGAGTACCACTCAAGCCGGTGCTAGGGGGCGTGTGGGATGTTGCACTTATTCATTATTCCTCATGGACAAACTCCATCAAACCGCGTCTGCAATGTTCATGTCTTTTTGTTGTGATTAATGCTTCCGAGGGATCACTTTGTTTTCAGATTTTTTTCTATTTGTCTACCTGGCTGAATGTCTGCCTTCTATGCGTACTAGATTATAATAAATATTCTGCACGTTTATGTTATATTTAGTTGAAGCTAGAGATGTTCGCGGAATAGTTTTCAGTAACATATTCTCAGCTATAAAGATTCGCGGAATCATGCCTACCGCAAAAAGCGCTAACTTAAAACGCGCGAAACCTTTTTTTTTAGGAATACAGTATGTCCGTCTCTCTCTATCTGTCTTTGAAAAAATGATATGACATTTTGGGTTATTCATCCTGAGATATTCTATGCCTTATGAGAACATATATCTATTTGACTTTTATAGTTTGTCCGTCTGTCAATAGTCTTGACTTAAACCTATTAAATTCTTTGAAACGTATCGGAATCATGATCCTTAACGAGAAGATAATTCGTACTTTCTTAGAATGAATGAGTTGTTTTAACGTTCCCCTGCCTAAAAATAGTACATAAATTATACAATTATGGATTGATGAAAAAGATATGATCCGGATACGAATTAGACACTTTGACCTTAGCGGTAGGGGTCTATTGTTGCTCATAATATTGATGCTACTTAAGATGTTCCAAAATCCCTTGATAAAAGGCTGAATAAGTTATGGACTGGAAACGTGTGACGTATGGACGGACAGAGAGACAGACAGACAGAGCCCGTTTCTATACCCCCCCCCCCTTTTTTTTCGAAAAGGTGGTGTTTCAATAATAGGTTCCGTTGCTATTATTTATATAACGAGAGTTGTTTTTTTTTCGACGATGATCATGCTTATCGACGTGTCGTGCGCTAGAATTCACGGTGTGTAAACTCCACTTCTTTGGTACACTTTTCGAAAGGATCCCTAT